TTTTAGAGAGTCCCATAAACATTTTTGCTCCTTCGTTAATGGACTGCCATAAATTGCTGTGAGTAACCATTGCTCTTTAGATGGGTTTGCAAGCAAGTGGATTAATTGAGATGAGTAAGCGAAGACTTCAACTTCAATCAATTCAGCATTCCAAAACACCTAAACGCCACCTGAATAACCATTTGCTTCTACTCTAAAATAATTTATGAAGCCATATCTGTGGCACATTTTATCAACTCTCATCCTTGATATTCTAGGCTCCAAGAGAATAAATATATGAATTTTATGTAATTTAACCACGCTCCTAATATTTCTATAGCACCTGCGAGAGGTTACGCCTCTAACATTCCAGCTCACAATGTTTAACATGTAGAAGAGAATAATAAATAAAGATAAAATAAGATAGTTAGGTAAAGGAAACCTGCATGGCAACAGCGTCATTACTTTCCAGCTCCATGGAACTAAAGAGATCATCTGTTCCTCGAGTAATATGGTTATCATCTTCTATTGGTTTTATTATTTTTTCACAAGCGAAACCATTAACTCCAACACCTGTTCATTTTTATCTTCGCCACTTTCCAAGGACATGGCTATTTCTTAGTGTTGAATTTGTAGTGAAGGTGATGATGAGGATCCTTGTGCCACACTTTCAACCATTTCAGGATTTGATTATCAAGTAAGCTTAATAATACCATTAGTAAAAGCTATTTTTTTCTCTTCAAGGCTTGCTTTTTGCCTTTAACCTTAGAAGATTTAGTAATATGAGATTTAGTTACTCGTTTTAGGTCAATAAATACATCTGGCAACTGATTTGTTATATTTTGCAAATGAATTATCTTTTGAACTTCTTGTTCACATTGATTTGTGAGAAGATCAAGACTAGATAATGTACTCCAAGATATTCCTTTTCCAACTACTTATTTTCTCCTCCTAATGTTGAAAAAATTGTTTCATCAAAATGACAATCAACAAACCTTGCAGTGAATAAATCTCCTGTTGAAGGTTCTAGATAATTAATTACAGATGGAGATTCATATCTAACATATATTCCTAACCGTCTTTGAAGACCCATCTTTGTGCGTTGTGGTGGAGCAATTAAAACATATACCGCACATTCAAAAATTTTTAGATTGAAAATATTTGGTTTCTGACCATAAACCAATTGTATAGAGAGAATTTATAATAATTCGTTTGGCCTGATGCATACAAATGCTACTGTATCCAAAATGACATACCCTTAAGCAGATATTGAGAGTTTGAATTTCATAAGAAATGGCCTTGCAATCAATTGAAAGTGTTTAATAAGTAATTCTGCTAGACCATTTTGTGTATAATCATAAACAATAGGCTATTGAATAGTTATTCCAATTAATATGCAATATTAAAGGCTTGAGATGTAAATCCACTAGCATTATTAAGACAAATAATCTAGATTATTTAACTAGGAAAACGTGCTTACAAACGACTGATTGCAAATGTCAAATTACAAGTTGATAATAAGCACATATGTGACCATTTAGTTGATGCATCGATTAAAACCGTAAAATATCTAAATGGTTCACATGGTGGATGTATGAATTCACATATAACCTTGAATATTATTCAAATACGTAAGGAATTCAATCCCAATTTTAGCTAATGATAACTTTATAATTTATTTACCTTCAGAGCAAGGAGTACATAAAATTTATTATATTAAAATTTTTTTTGGTTTTTCAATAAATGATAGTATAAATTTTCAATTATTATTTTTGCATCATTATTGATCCGGGATGGTCCAACCGGTCATGCCAAACATTAAAATCATTAGTAAACTTCTGGTTTACTATGAGTTTTAATTATTCTAATATTTATATAGTTTAATTCTGAGAATAGAGCAAGTGATTTTTTTTTCAACACACACTTTCTACTTGAGATAATAGATGTAAGATAAAGGTATTAAGTGTCTCCATTCGTTGTCTTAATATAATATCTATTCAGACAAATATCTTTAAAACTTAATAAACTTCTTTGAGACTTAATAGAAAATAATACATCCTCTATTACTTTATTTCTCAAGGTAGTAAAATATTAGCTCTTCTAGAGCCTTCAATCAATCTTGTATTACCAAATATTGAATTGACATTGATTTTTTTTTCGATGTCTTTAAATATAATGTGTGTTGTAGCAATGTCTGCTAGACATATATTTACATTATTGATCTTAGATCCAACAAGATCAATATCTATATTTTCTTCAATAAAATAAAATATATATAATAAGAAACTTGCAAATTAACATAAAAGAATATTAAACATAGAATTAAAACACATAATAAGAACATATCTTTTAAATATAATAAAAACATATTAAAGCATGTTCATAATATAATTATCCTAAATATACCAATTACTATTAAGTTCATTCTCAGATACTTTTACTAGCAATCAAATAATCAATTCTTTTTTCAGGATAAGAAAATCAATAATAGATATTTTTATTACCAATCATATAATCAATTCCTCTTTCAAGGTGGATAAATATCTTGATGTGATATATCAACTTGGCCATAATTAAAATTATCATAAGATATTTTAATTTTCAGTGATGTTTGATAAAATTTAAGACGTACGGCAAATACATGACCAATAATCTTTCATGCCATATCAATAACAATATGTTATCTATATTCATTTTATTCTTTTCATTATTTATCCACTTCTAGTGGGTTATAAGTATTTATCTACTTTTATCCACTTCTGGTGAGCTAGTGGGTTAAGGTATCCATCTACTCTTGACGTGCTTAAAGTATTTATCTATTTGTGGTAAGTTACAAGTATATATCCACTTTTGGTAGGTGATCCACATATGATGGGTAATTCATTTTTAGTGAATTATAGGTATCCATCCATTTTTTATGGTAAAATTATCTATTCACTTTTAGTGATAAAATTATTATGATAAAATATCCATCCACTTTTAGTGGTGAAATAATAATTAAAATAGTGATATTGTAAATTGTTATGACCATCATAATCACTTTAAAGAATGGATGAATTCATGATTATGACCATAATGATGTCGCATTCACTTCAAGGAATGCACGGATTTATAATTTTTTTATTAGTATCTCGTTTGTCATATTCACTTCAAGGAATAAACATTCATAACTTTTATTAGTAACTCATTTGTCGCATTCACTTCAAGGAATGGACATTTATGGTTTTTTATTAATAATTATAAAATAGCAAATTCATTTTTCAATCAATAGACAAAATATAATATATAAAACATAATAGTAAAATTCATATTAAAGTTGATTTTAAGATAATGAAAGTACTAAAGAGATATAAGTCACTTACCTATTTTCTTTAATACCAGAAATCAAAACCTAATCACTTGAAGATGATGAAAACATAATAATTCCAAAACTTAAGAGATCAGAGAGGATCGTGCTGATAACGTGTTATAAAATAATAACTTTATAAAAACAAATAAAGATAACTTAAAAGAATACTTAAAGAGAAGAAAGAAAGTATCTAGGAGAAGAGAATAAATCTTATTAAAGTGTGCATACAAATGAACTAAGGAAGCCTATTTATAGGCAAATAACCCTTTTACAAAATGAAGATAGCACTTAGAGATTATATGGATTATATCCTAATCTAATCTGATTTACATCAAATCTAGATATAGATAACATGAATGAATATTCACAAAATATTCATAACAAATATAATATTTTTTTAATTAGTATTTTTATTGATAAATTGATTCCTTGATTTTTTTTGAAATTTTAATTTTTAAGGTTTTAGTTGGTAATAGGAAAATAACTTATTAAAGGAAAATTTTTTCTATGTAAAATATTTTATCAAAAAATCTAATATTACCTATTGTTTAGATAAATTATCGAATGTATTTTCAGTTATTTGGATTATATTATAAAAAATATTTTCCACCATAACCCATCATCAAAAATTTTTTCATCTTCAATAATTTTCTACCATAAGACCATAAAAATGTCAAAATTTATCAATTATTCAGGATGTCCAAAATATTTTTTCCAATATTAAAAATATTATATATAAATAATATTTTAACTTTTATTATATATTTATTTCTCATCATATTGTTATACTGGTTAGTTTGTTAAGTAAATAAATTATAAAATAAAAAATTAAATGAAATGTGAGATTTTCTTAACTGAAAAACTTATTTCTCATTTTCTATAAAATTTCTCTTTTAATTATTTTATATTATATTAAAAATTATTGTATTTTAGGAAAAAATAATTGTAATGATATGATATTATGAAATAATTAAAAATAATAATTACTGATACTTTGTTGAGAGTAGTATAATAAATAAAGAGATAAAAAAATAATGATGTTTTATAACTTTATTGCTTTGTGTGATGTATCTCATAAGAAGAAGAAAGTTATATTTTTTAAGTGTGATCTGTCTCAAGATTTATGTTTTATGTCTTTTTCAAATATAAAACATTTATCGTTGATTAATACAAATTTTTTTTAATTTTTTAGTAAAATATTAAATATTTATAAAAATCTTTTTTATTTCAGACGAGGAAACAGCTTGTAAAACTTTTTAACCTTATTAAAGGAAATTTAAATTTATCTTTAGAAAAATTAAATTGAAATTGGTCTTTGACCGAAAATTCAGAGTTCAAAAGCAATGGAATTTTAGATTTTCATTTCCCGACAGGAAGAAGGTACAGAGCTCACGTTTTAAAATCTTTAGACTTCCAAGGAAAGAGATTCTTCCACGTGGCAATAGTCGAGAAGGTCTTATCCATGGGAGGTAATTCTTTCACACCAACCGCCACTCTTAAGTTTACAATTATACCCCTTAAGGTACGTGATCTGTCGAGCAGTAGTAGCGAGTACAAAAAAACTCAGGTAAACAAAGCGAGTGGATAAAGTAACGTTGAGGTCCCCATCCCCTCAAATTTTTGACAGAGCGCCAAAACTGGCCGTTTTGAATTCAAACAGCCAACTCCGACATCCAACTTCCGAATAAACGAACATCATTGCCCTTTGCTGAGTATCTCTCAAGCTATTCTTCTCCAACAACTTTCGGAGAAAACAACAATGGATTTTCGCTGTTTTATTTGAATTTCCATTAGATTTCCCTCTATTTTCTTTTCCTGATTGTTGTTAAGAGATGGATTTTCAATGCATGAAGAGAAAAGAACTGCAGGCGTTGTGTAAAAAGCACGGCGTCCCTGCAAATTTAACCAACCGTGAAATGGCGAATCAGTTGGCTTCCACTTTGAAGGTACCTTCTCTCTAATTTAGTCGTCTTCTTTTTTGATTTTTTTTCCAAATATAGTTTCCCTTTAATTTCTGCTACTGCGCGTTTGGCTGCCGATGCGCAATGAATTGGTGAACTAAGACCGAATTTCGACAAAATGATCAGCTTTCCGTTGTTATTTTTTTTGTTAATTTTCTGTATGTTTAATTATTTTGAAGATTAAGAAAACAGGAAATGTTATGAGTTCCTTCTTTTTCTGTAGATCTGAGAGTAAATTTATATAAACGGGAATTCTGAAGAAAGAAAAAGCAACAGAGAGCATTAATTTCTAAATTTCGGTCATGGAATTTGACTTGTTTTCTCTATTTTACTGAGAGTTAAGCGTTAGAAATTTTACGTCCACGTTAGCTGTTATTTTTACTGCTTGCCTTCTATGAAATTAAAAACAAAAAAAAAAAAGTGTATTCAAATAGAAAAGCAGACATATTTTTGAAGTTTTAAATATTAAAATTTTCAGTTTTATGGAAAAACAAAAAAGTTTGAATTGCTATTATAGGAGTTTATATGAAGAAATCATATATGATAAAAAGCAAGTAGCAACATAGCTACTCTATGGTACATTTATTCACTTCAATCATATTATAACGCCATTGTCTTATTCCTTTTCATGCCTTGAGCAGGAAAATGAAGAGCTCGTTTCATTAGAAAAGTTGAGCACAAATCCGGAAGAAATAGGTAGTGAAACTGGAGCTGAGGTTGCTAAAAGGAAGGCAAAGAAAGTAAGGTTTAGTCCTGAAAATCAAACCATTGTGTATGAGGTTTCTGTCTATAGGCGGCCTGGAAGAAGGTCTAGGAAGCAAATGTTGTCCAAAAATCCTGCCCAGGTTATTGAAAATGCTCCAAAAAGTGAAGATATTAGGAAATCTGAGGACTGCCAAGTTAGAGTCACGAGGTCTAGAGTGCGAAATACAGTTGAAGATGATGTACATATGGTTTCTACGCCTCCTGTTGGGAGGAAGAGAGGGAGAGGGGGCATGAAGAATAAAGATGCTGAGATGATTAATATTGGTAAATCTGAGGTGTTAGAAATGGGTTACAGAGATGATGTCAAGAATTGTAATGATGAAGTGACTGGTGGGGTAAGTAGGAGGCAGTTAAGAAGTAGGAAGAATGTGACACAGGAAGATTCAAAGAAGAGAAGGAAGGGTAAAGGAGGTAATGAGGTTCATTTGTTGGATGAAAGCTCTGAAGAGAGTTGTGTTGTTTGTGAGGATGTGAAATCCAAAAATGGCTCAAAGCAACCAACGAGGAATGCCAGAAAGGAAGATCAGTCTGTGGCATTGAGCAATGAAGTGGAAAAGGCTGAAGTTGTTTCTAGGGTAACACGGCAGTCAAGGGCAAAATCAAGAAATGTAGCTTCCATGGTAAAAAGTAAAGTTAAAACAGTTGAGGTGCAGGGAAGATGTGAAGAGATTCTTCAACTCAAAGAACCTCAGAAAGGTAGAGCGAAAAATGCTTTGAGGCAGAATGCTGTGCCTCAAAGGGTGAGAGATGAAAACAGTTTACTTGTGCTAGAAGGTGCTGAAGCAGAGAAGTCTTTGAGGCGATCCAAACGTAATGCGGAGAAAGATTGTGTCAAAAGTGCTAAAGCAGTGCAAAGTGAAACTCAGGTAACTAAGGTTCCTGGAGGAGATATTGCCTTTCAAAAACCTCCAGAATGTTTAAGCAGTTATTCTTCCAGTGGAAAAAATGTTGTGCGTGAGAGTGCTAAGAGGGGCAATGAGGAAGAACTCATGAAAAGGGGGACCAAAAAACGAACTAGGACTACTGACCTGGATGCAATTGTGGAACATAGTGGTGAGATTGAGAGGGCCGAGTATGCCTTTACTTCTCAAGACCAAGCCCCTTTGAGGAGGAGCAGACGCAATGCTGTAATTCTAAACACTCCTGCTCCTGCTAATGCTGAGTTGGCAAATAAACCAGATACTGGCAAAATGTTGCAGTTCAGAGCACCATTTGTAGGGAAAGACGTGACTGAAGAATTACCTAGAAGGTCCAGTCGAAATGCTTCTAGATATAATTCACCAGGAGCCTCTAAAGAAGATCAAATTACTGTTTCCAAAAAAGACTCTGGAGTGAAGCAACAAAGCCAAGGGCCTATTCTGGAAGAAGAGACTTCTGCTGGAGAGCATCAGAACGCCCAAAAAAGATCTAATCGTATTGCTTCCAGAAGTTCCTCTGTTGCACCTCCCTGTCCAGCTGCCAGTGTTGTCAAGAAAAAGCAACAACGCAAATCTAGAATGACAATTATAGAAGCAGCTGCACTTTCTGAGAGTCTTCTGGCTCCTGGAGAATTACCAGCTGGTAAGGATGAGTTAGTTGTAGAAGATGGTGCAGGGAACAAATATGATCTTGATTTGAATGTCAGCAAACAGACAGCCAAGAACTCTGATAGATGCTCTAACAAAAAGAGAAAGGGATTGACGGAAGATTCTGGAGCAAAGAAGCAGTATGGATTTGCAGAGGCCTCTCCTCTATCTCTGGACTTGGAAGAACTCAAGGACTCTACTGGAGATATGGAGAAAACTCTGATTAGAACATCCATGAAGTTCGTAGGCCTTTCTACAGACCAAGAAATGCATCAGGCTGCCCACAAATCTATGGTGGTTTATGAGAAGGAAAGCAATTTAGTGGAAGATGACAGAGAGAAATTGGCCAATGGTGGCAATGTTGAGAGTGAAGAGAATTGTATGTCATGTAAGTCTGTCCATACAAAATGCATACTGGATGATGCTAAATGCTCAGACCTCAAACTCCTAGAATTTGAAAGTAAACACGTGGTGGAGTTTTCTGGGATGATTTTTCCAGCAGAAAGCCAAGGTGGGTCAAATGCTCAAATTATGTTTTTTTGCAAAATTTAATCTTGTAAATAATTTTTATTCACTTGATGAATTCATTTGTTTTATTATTCCTCACTTCCTGGGCTGTAGACAATATAATAGCTAGAGCTGAAATCTCTGTCGATACTGCAGGGCATGGAATGTCTGATCAAGAAATGAAGAAAGATATAAAAGCGATGGACGCACATTCTGCGCATGGATCTTTGGTTGTTTACAAGGAGGATAGAAGCCCCGTGGAAAGTGAGAAAGATAGGTTGGTCCAGGTTGATACTGCTGACAGTGAGATAAATTGTCATGAGTTAAGTTGGTATCTAACTGGAAGAGGTGCTGTTGATGACAAAAATTTGGTTGAATCTAGCCAGGTAGAATTTGAAAGTAATGTTATCAATCTGGATTCATCTGAGATAACTTCTCTAGCTAATGGTTTTTCATTAGCTGATCAAATGGATCTTACAGGTGAGTAGTGAGTGTATTCAGTGTTGATTTCAGAAGAAACTGTATCATGTTAATTGTTACTTGTTCCCTATGCACAGGTGCAACCTCCACCGCCATGCACCTAGAGACACAATTGGAGACAGAGCCACCAAGGGGTGAAAACATTAACTTTGCGAGTGATAATGCTGAAGATAGCAGAACTTCTTTTGGAGAGGATCAGATCTTAGTGGAATTGAAAGTTGCCAATGTCACTGCTGCTGAACTTGTCAGGGAGGCAACTTTTAAGGATCACCTGAATGAATTTGGTGAAAGTAGTGGTTTGAAGAGAGGGTCAGAACATGCCCTCAAGAAAGTTGAAGAAATGATTGCTACTGATTTTTCAGATAGAGAAGGAATTCCACACATAGAAAGTTCTGACGAGGCTACTGAAATTCAGGACTGTAGTGGTGAATTCTATTTTGCTATCACTGAAACTGGTGCTCAAAAGACCACAGAAATCCAGCAGAGCTCACATAGCCACACTGCTGCCCCAGAAACTCCATGTGGACCTGCGCCAGAAACCCAAGGTGTGTGAAAATCCTTTCCTTTCCTTTTTAGCTCTCAGCTCTTTGGAACATATAATTCTGTAAGGACCACATTTTTTATAGTTTTTTCGTCATTGCAGTCAAAGAAAAAACTTGCAGGTTTGAAGCTGCTGTTGAGACTTCAGGAAGTGGGATGTCCAATCAAGAAATGATTGAAGATATGATTCCAGGAAATTCACATTGTGTCTGTGAATCTGAATTAATCCATAAGGAGAATACCGGATTGGCGAAAAATGATGAAAAGATAAGGATCGATGATGATACTTTTGAGGGTGAAATGAAATATCAGACTTGTCTGTCCTTGAATGGAAAAGGTGCTATTGATGATTATAACTTGGTTGAACCTAGAATGGTTGTTTGTCCTGAGATAAATTCTCCAGCTGATGGCTCCTCTTCAGCTAGCCAAGCAGTCTTTGCAGGTGAGCGAGTTTGTATACTTTTGATGTTAGAAGTGAGCTATACAATACTAAATTTCTTAGTTGCTCACATAGTGCTTGATAATTTGCAGGAAAAACTTCAAGTCATATAGAACAGGAGAAAATATTGGAGACAGAAGAACCATTAACAGTGGAAACCATGAACTCTATAAATGATAATATGGATGCTGAAAGAAGTAGAACTCCTACTGAGGAGGATCATATAAAAGTGCAATTAGAAGATGCCAATGCAATTGCTGCTGAATCAATTGGGGAAATAATTTTCAATGATCTCCTGAATGAACTTGGTGAAACTATTGGTTTGAAGAGAGGGTCAGAAACTCCCTTGAAGAAAACTGAAAAATTGAGTGCTACTGAGTTTTCTGATGGGGAAGGAATTTCTCTCCCCGAACCTTCCGCCAAGGCTTCTGAAAAGCAAGATTATAGAGCTGAAATTGATATTGTTACCAAAATAACTGGTACACCAAATATTACAGAAATCAAGTGGAGTTCAATTAGTGACACTACTACCTGCAGAACTCCATTTGGACTTGCACCACAAAGCCAAGGTGTGTGAAATTCATTTTCTTTCTTTAGTTATAAGCATTTTAGAACATTTAATTCCGTGAGAACATTGTCTGATCTTTTTTTTATTCATTCCACTTGAAGATAAACTATGCAATGCTGGAATTTCTGTCAGAATAGCCAGAAGTGAAATGTGCAATCAATATGAGGAAACCAGTTTGGTGGAGGATGACAAGGAGATAGTGATCCAGGATGATACCGTTGAGGGTGAAGTAAAATATCAACATTTTCCGTCTTCAAATAAAACAGGTGCTCTTGATGAAGCTTTGGTTGAACCTAGAATGGTTGAATTTGAAAGCAATGTTAACAACATGAGTTGTTTTGAGATGGCCTCTCCGGCTGATGTTTGCTCTTCAGCCAGTCAAGCAAATCTTGCAGGTGAGTTTATTTATGATGTGAAAATGAACCGTACCATGTTCATTTTCTTGATTGCCCACATGTACTTGATAATGTGCAGGTGAAACTTCAAATGAGTTAAAACTGGAGAAAGTATTGGAATCAGAAAAATTATCAACGGGTGAAAATGTGAACAACGAAAGTGATGAGGAGGTTGAAGATGACAACAATCCTGCTCAAGAGTATCAGAATTCAAAGCAACTAGAACATGCCACCATGACTGCAGCTCAACCAGTTCAGGGGATAGTTGTCTGTGATCACTTGAATGAACTCTGTGCAAGTTGTGGTTCAAAGAAGTTTGAAGTTTCCCTGAAGAAAGCAGAAGAAACAAGTACCAATCATTCTTCTGGAAAAGGAATGGTTCACACTGAAAGTTCAATTGAGATTAATGAAAAGAGTGATGCCACTGCCAAAATCCATACTATTACTGCTGAAACTGGTGAAAAAATAATTATGGGAATGCAATGGAGCTTGAGTGGTCATGATACAACTTTGATAAGTCCACATAGACCTGAAGTAGGCAGCCAGGATATGATAGGTACGCTTACATTTCACTTTATATTTATTACCTTTTCAGAATAGTAAATGCTGATAAGAGTGTTTATTTCTTAGATCAAGGCACTTGTTTGATTGAATCTTCTTACTTACACTTGCAGGTACAATAAGTAGAGTTGAAAATGCTGTGAGAAATACAGGATATGGAATCTGTAGTTTCCAAAAGATCGAAGAAATTGTGAAAGTAGTGCAAAATGAACACAAAGAGACTATAATTACTGAAAGAGAATTGTTTGTTGGTGAAAAAAAGTTACTTGATGAGGATTATGAAGGAGAATTTTTGGCGGATGGTGCTTGTCATCCACTTTCAGGCAGCATAGATGGTGAACGTGCAAAAGATAAACAAAATGACATTGCAGAGGGAAGCTTTAACAATGTTTCTGTTGAGACACAGGAGAGACATATCTGTGAAGTTTTTGATGGAGAGGGAACTGATGCTGTTTCATCAGAAGAAAAGGATAATGATATATTTGAAAGTGCTTCTCATGTTGATGTTTCTCCACAATGTGAGTGCAGATTAGGATCTTGCATAATCTTTTTCTTTTTTCGTTTTTGTTAAAATACTTCTTCCTGTTGCTTGATTCTGTGGTAGATGATCTTTTATTTGGATGTTCTCTTTCTTGCTGGTCCTGGTTCTCTTGACAAGAGCTTTTATTTTTTGTCAGTTCAAATCTATGAAGACTTATAAATACAACTAAAGCTAGTATTGTTGTTGCACTTTTGGAGGCTGGGATGTTCTTTTTGCAAATAACAAAGGAATTTTATTGACCTTATTTGCTAAAGGGATGCAATTTATCATTTAATGCACCAATTAAGAATAATGGTGCTATGAGAAAAGATGAAAATTCCACTCAAGGTCCTTAAGTACTAAACTATCTAAAGAAAATGAGATGGATTTTATTACTGCATTTTTTTTGTTGATTATTTCTTTAAAAGGACTTGTTCTTTCTGACTGGTTCAGGTATTTGTAACGAGAAATTGGCAGTCAGGAATGATATGCAAGAAAAATTGGAGCCAGTTTGTATGGATAATGTGAATAGTAGGACCAAAATTCCAGCACATTTTTGGTCTCAAAATGCATTGAAGCAGTTGGATAATGCAAGTGAGGCAGTGAAGCAAGGTGATGGAATTGGGGAAGTCAATGCTTTTAGTAATGCCTGTCAAGCTTTTCGATTAGAGGAATTGACTTCATCCATTAGTTCAGAACCTTTTTCTATGAGGCTTCACGATCATGTGCTTGTGGATGGAGGAAGGAATTGTGAGGGTGAAATAGTTATGGATCAGCCTAACGACTTTGCTGCAACCATGGATAGAAATGGAATTAGTGCTAGTACAGAAACAGATGTTGGACAGGATGATAATATGATGGAGGAAATAGCAATATCTGCCATGAAAGTTAAGCTTGGTGACCATGGTGGTCGCAAGGGGAATGCAACGTCGTATGAGACCAATACAAGTGCATTAGAGACAATATTTCAAGAAACTGATGTTTCTGGGCTGGTGCATACGAAATTTCCAGAAGAGATACCAAATGCTTCTGTTGGAAGTACTCTACCATTTGAAAAGGCAAACTGTGGTGATCTTGATGATCAGAGTGAAGAGGTTGCACCCGAACGTGATTGTAGCTCTTCCATTGGATTAGATGGTTTGAGATCAACTGTTGGCATTATTTTGGACAACAATTCAAAGGTTGGCACACTGGAAAGCACTTTCAATAGTAACGATCCTCAATCTAGAGCAGAAGTTGAAGACCCTGATGTAAATGATAGTGGTTCATATGGTATGTTGGATTACATCTCTGCAAACACTCATGATGTAGCAAATGAATTTAATGCTGCTTTAATGGTTGAAGAAGCAGGGTCTGAGGATGGTGGAAAAACACCTGTTTCTCATCAGAGATCTTTAGGCAGCGGTAAACAAGATGTCCCATCATATGCTAATTCACCTTGTAGCAAGCCTGAAACTAGTTTAGGTAGTTCTACTCTTTTATGCTCGAGCATCCTAGTGTCATGTGGTGAGTACTTCAGATAACCAAACTTGTATGTTCCAGTTACTTTCTTTAAATGCTGATGAAATTTTAAGTTGATGCAATTATGCCTCTTAACTAGCATTACATCAAAGTATGATTAGATGGCTTTTTTGGCATTTGTATAAAATGAGATGATTTTTGATTTTTTTTTTCTTGTTCCTGTGGCACAGCAGAAAAAGAAAAACTTCATCCACAAGTTATGGATGATGCCGATGATGTGGGGGGAACTAAAATCTCTATTGACCGCAAAGGTATAGTTGTTAATTGGTTTGAGCCTTTAATTCTTGACTTAGTTTTTTATACTCAAAGGTTGTAGATTTTATTTTCATCCTTTAGAAGAGGTTACTCTAATTACATGGGTTTGCTCTTTCATGACCATGATATAGTTGAAAGGCGGGAAAGAAATGGGTGCCAACTAAATACTGGAGGTTTTAGTGATGTAATTGATGGTTCCCTAGTAGAAAAGATCAAGGGAGATCCTGATGAAATTGCTGAATCAAAGTCTGATGATTGTGAAGGCTCAGTAAAAACAGCCACATTCATGGATGGCAAGGACAGTTTGGTTGTGAGTCAGCCTCCATGTTTGGATGAAAGCAAGAGTTGTGGTCTGGAGACTCAGGAACCACATGGCTTCCATTTGCATGATAATATAGCTGGTGAGTCCAGGGAAGTAGGAAGCTGCAGTAAAGTGGACATTGTTTCTTTAGTGAAGCCTGAGTTGGTTGTCGATTGCTTATCCATTTCCTCAATTTGTGCTACTTCTGATGGTAAGTTCTCCAATCCCTTCAATGCAGGTACAGATTTGTAGAAAGCAATTGCTCTTTTAGAATAGTACAGCAAAATTTGCATTCACTGATGCTGTTATAATGGAACAGAAGAACATGAACGCTTGGAGAACCCTGATGAATCACATATCTTAACCAACATGGAGATGAGTTTGTCTTTGGCGGATGAAGATGAAGTTAAAGAACCAGATGCAAAGGCTGGTGACAGTAATCGTGCTGCTCTAGACAAGACCATCACAGAATGCATTTCAAGTGACCTTAAAAAGGAGTATGTTGCCTGCTCAGATGCTGAGGATATAAAATTCTCAGTGCAAAAGGGTGGTCCAGAAACAATGGAGATGAGAAAAGATGTCTCAGGGCTGGATGCAGAAATGGCAGATAAATCTCCCGTACTAAAGAATTCAGAAGTTGGTACAGGTAAACAGAACATCTGTTTCTTCGTTCATATTTTCATTCTCAGTGATAGGCAGCAGGAGCCAATTCCTCCAGTTTTTGTTTGATTGATTGTGTTGCAGCTGTTGAGCGTGAAGAAGCCTTCAGGTCCCAACTAAACTTGCTATCATCTCAAAAGAAAAATGTGACTACCAAAAAGGAGGGAAGCAAGAGCGTGAGTGTGAAGCAATTGACTTCGTCCATACTGAAAAGTAAGAGCAAGTCTCGTTTGAGTCAAAGAACACCAAAGCGACTGATAATACATGACATGAAGGAGAATGAGGTTAGCACTAAGAGGGAGCAAATAGGCAACATGACAACGCCAAAAGCATCATCCAAGAGGCGTCCTCTTGAGCTCTGGAAGTATTAGACCTAACTGTTTTTTGTGCTGCTTTTGTAGAATGGTTGACATTTCCATGAGAATGGGGACAGGTAAGGTAAGGTAACCCATTTTTCTACTACGTATGAGCATACCTCATGCTTTGTTTGTTTGTAAAATTGTGAAAAGATTTGAAGTTTGTGTCGTGCACATTGGGTTTTGTAGTCTGTTTTGATTATTTGGAAGCTCAGATGTATAACTTGCAATGACACATTAATTTATAGACTCTGTTTTATTATTATGTATTTCTAAGCTTACGGTTTGTTTTACTTTCTAACAAATAAAACATAAAGAAAGAAAGCATTCATTGTGGACATCCAGGGGTGGGTGATGGTTTGCTGCCGACACAGCCTGCAGCAATCTTTATTGGCAAAGACAATGGAGACGCTGCCTACAAGTCCCAATCCAAGTTTTGGAGCAGACAATTCCATGGCATTCATGTGAAGTCCCTTATTGAGAAGGTAATGTACATATTATGGATAAAACTAAAACTGTTTTCCCTTCTCTGGAGATTACAGGGACTTTTTATGAAAATTCAACCCCTTTCTAACCCACAAAATCCACATGTATGGAAAGAATCAATGAAACTTCAACAGAACCATTGTTGGATCCCAGTTCTATGTATCTACAAACACCATGCAACCATGTCGCATTAAGGGATGCCTTCATCTTTTGACACAGAACGCAGACGATTTTTATGCAATTTCCAGACAGCCTTTCTTCACAAAACACAACATCTATCATTTTCAGTATTTTTAGTCACAGTTCAACCCGCACACTTCTAAAACAATACCTCCTTTTGATATAAACGGGTTGACCCGAGCCCACAGAAGAGAGAAGATCGAAGCCAAAAGTATTGACCAAACCACGATGATGGTGGGAAGCCTGTCTTGTTTCCCCATCAGCCCCTTGAGGAATGGGTAAAGATGAACAATGACCCAGAACGCAAAGAACAGTCTACCAAATAGAGGCCCCCATGAGTCATATCCATTGGAGATGGCATCTGAAATCCCAACTATGACTCCAATTATGTTGATGAGCAACAATGTCATGGGAGGAATCAATAATGAAGTCCACTTGAATATGTACAGCTCCGAAAATTCTGCATCATCTCCTCCTTTTGAGGTGACCGTGAAGTTTGTGTTAACACCTGCTAAAACCTTTAGCAGACCCTGAAACAGAGCAAATAGGTGTGATGAGACACCACCAATCACCCAGAACTGCTCATTTCTCCACCAGTCATGTATTCCAACACCTCCCCACTGCATTTCGAGGATACTGGTCACAGCTATGACTACGAAGAGGGACATGAAAAGGATACTGGCATAATTGCTAATCTGCATAAGAGAAAATCAGTGTATTAGCTGAAATTCCGGCAAGCCAGATTAAGTGCAGCATCCAAATTTTGAAATTCCCATGGTATGTCTTGCAATAAGTTTAAGAATAACATAGCTACAGCCCAAAGAGTCTCGCTAGTATGTTCCAGACTAACTGAAATGCATCACCTAGCAGGATCTTTAATACCACAAAGGCTCTACCTGAAGAAGATTCATGACTCTAATTAGAGCAACTAAATTATGTTCTAATCATGCTCAGCCAGTCCAATCTTGAAATACTAAGATGAATTTAAGCTCCGAAACCTGTTCTTAGAATTAAAAAGAGAAAATAAATTTCATAATTATAACAACAAAATTTATTGCTTGCAGTTTAAACAACCCCACCAAAAAAAAAATAGGAAAGAAAAATAAAAAACCACATCATATGAGCTTTCCTTTAATGCAGTGAAAGCAAATTGATAATGATTACTTGTACTGTGACCTACAAACAGTTCTAAACTTACTAGTTCTAGCTGATTATTTTTCTATGCTAATTGATACCAAAATAGTTAGGAAGTAAGCATGTCATAAAGATATGCAGCTTAGGATTACCTCAGGGACAATAAACTTTCCAGTAAGGAGACAGACAGCTGGCAAGGTGCAATAAATGAGCAGTGGAATTGATGTCAAAGGGTACACCACTGAGGCTATGTAAGAAAAGCGCTCCAAGGATTTTAGTCCACAGCCATACCCATACCATATAGGGCAATGCCTGCTCAAGAAAATTTCAACAGATCCCAAAGCCCACCGTAGAACCTGGTGTAGACGATCTGAGAGGTTAATAGGAGCTGAACCCTTAAATGCAGGCCTTTTGGGAATGCAATATACTGATCGCCAGCCATGGCAGTGCATCTTGAAGCCTGTTAATATATCCTCTGTAACAGAGCCATATATCCACCCAACCTGGATGAAGATTGGAATTGGTGAGCGTCACTATAAAACATGCAATATTTCAAAAAAAAAAAAAAAGGCTTCAAAAGACACAAATTATTAACTTCAGAACAGTTTCTACGTACTTCTTTCCCCCAATCTGACTTATCTTCATAACCACAACTGATGACATGGATGGCTTCTTTCAAGAGTGATGCAGTAGGTGCTCCTTTTGGAACTCCTCCATCCTCCATAAGTGTTGAAGCAATGAAAACTGGTGATTGCCCAAATTTCTTCTCAAATTTGATTTGTGGCATAAGGGATGACTTTTCATTGTCTATACCTGCAATATGTGATGATGGCACTATAAGTGATAAGGGTCTAACATATCTACTTTAAGCAAGAGACCATGCATCCAAAACAACAAAATAGGGGATTGATTCTCAGTTAATTATAAAATATCTGGAATATCAAGGTCAAACTTAGCTGAGGACAGAAAGTCTGCAAAGCAGACTGTTCTGAGATAATTGATGGTTACAACCTAAGAAAGGGATTACATGCCATCAGAAAAAATTTGTGAGACAATTTGCAGATGCATGCTAGAAGCCAATTTGAAAACAAGACTTACCTTCAATTCCCTCCTCAATATTTTCTAGAGCATGTATCTGCTTTGAAACCTCCTTGTTGTTTTTCTTCTTATCATTGGACTTTGCTTTCCTATTTCTCTTTTTAGATCGGCAACAGCAGCAGCAGCACCATTTTGGCAAACAGTTACATGTCTTTCTTGGAGGCTTTTTCTTGACAGGGGCATCATACCCATAAAGTGCCTGCCTCCTGAAGACGCATCCAGTTCCAACATAAATAGGTCCTTGAATTCCATCCAGTCCTTTCATGTTGATCTGTTTTCAGAAAAATAAAAAGATATCATCTTTTCCTTTTAAAAAGAGACATGTCAGTGAAACATTAAAGTTTTCCAGTCTATACATACATCAAAAAATACAACATTGCGATTTGAGTATCTATCATGACGATCAATGCCATCAAATCTTTGAGGAAATTGGACATAGCAGATTTTCTTTCCTGAAATAGGGTCCATCATGAAGCACATAGCTTCACGAAGAGCCTTGCTGTTGTTTATATAGTGATCACAATCAACATTCAGCAGGAAAGGAGCATTGGAGATGATAGCAGAAACGCGCACCTTCATTAATCAGCCAAAAATTATTAACAATTAGATAAATCGGACAACAGACAGATCAGAGGACATGCCAGGCTGAGAGGCTGTGTTGTGTGTGCATGCATGAGAGAGAGAGAGAGAGAGAGGTACCAAAGCATTCATGGCCCCAGCCTTTTTGTGGTGATCAAATCCTGGTCTCTTTTCACGAGAAACGTATATTAGACGAGGTAACTCATTACCTTCAATATCACGAACACCATCATGACCAAGGAAAACCTATAGTAAAGAGTACCCAATTTTTACCATGTTAATGCATAAGTGGAAATAGCAGAAGGATGGATAGCATCTGAACCAAATCTCAAACAGCATAAAAAGAAAACACTTCACCTGGATCATTCCAGGATGATCCCTGACATTGTTTCCTGGCCATGGAGTCCCATCCTGCATTGTCCAACCCTCCTCTGGAACCTTTTGTGCCATGGCAACCAAGCCATTTATTCGAACTTTGAACTCTTCATATTCCCTCTGTATCAACAAATTAACAACACCAGATATGAAACATCATTTCTTGAAACCAATTGAAAACACTTTTTTAACAAAAAATGCCATGCATATAATAATAATGAAATGGTATTTTTACGAAGTAATGTTTTCTTTTTCATAATACAAATGCACAACCTCTCAGCCTCCTAATTTTATGCTTAAGTAATCCAATCTCTCGGTCTATAATTGGTGTCATGTATCATTTAAAGTAGGCTAATCAAATGGCAGGCACTAGCCAGCAGCAAACATAATAGAGAAAAGTTACAAACCTTCATGGCACGGCGTTCCCTAATGAATGTTGGATCTACTTTATCTCTCAAATAGTCAACTTTCTGAGCAAAATACCATTCTGGAGCCCGTGGTTCAATGGTGAATTTCTTACAAAATGGTACCCACTTTCTTGCAAATTCAGATGTCTCAGAGAGAGCCTCAAAAGTAAGCATGGCAGCCCCATCATCAGAGACATAGCAGGCTACTTTATCAACTGGATAATCTACAGAAAGGATAGACAGAACTGTATTTGCAGTGATAAGTGGTGGCTCTTTCATGGGATCAACAGTACTCACAAATATGTCTACAGAAGCTAGCTCAGATGGCTTCCCTTCCTTCTCATACCTAAAAAAAAACTAATAAGATAAGTATAAAAATACTAACTAAAACCTAATTCTCTCTAACATGCACACATGTTTAGAGTCAGAACAGAAGGGAGGAGAGGGAGGGAGAGAGCAATTGAGATGCACAGAGAGCAAGAGTGGGGAAGGGAAGGGAAGAAACAAAGATGAAATCACCTCAATGATAATCGATCAAGGTACGTTTCACGTTCAATTGGGTACCATTTTGGGAACTGATCCAGTATCCATGATACAGCAAACCATATTTCACAGATGACTGAAATAAGCCAGAGCACATAAGCATCATTCACAGGATGCAGAATTCTATAGTGAAAAAATAACCCAAGGATCGTAAGTCGCAGCAGGATTATTAATCTGTATGGGTTTATCTTGCTAGAAGGGATTGGTAGTTTCCTTGAAAGTGGCTGCCTGCCTTCATCCATCCTACAGTAACACATAAATTTTACATATTTAGTTGAAACTGTCATGAATGTGAAAAAGCTGGTGTCAATGAATTCAACTACTTCTCTAAAATTAGCCTACTGAAGTTGATATTGATTACTATCATGTTTGATGCACAGACCTTTCAACACAGAAAACTGGTGCATTCATTTGCTCACAACGTGAAAGTAAAACATATGTAAAGCAGTAACAAACTATAAAGCCAACAAAACA